AAGAAGAAGTGTATAGTGTAAACTGAGTATAATAGCGCAAATGAAATGTGAAATAAAGTGGCAATACCAGCGATTTGAGGTTATAATAATTTTAGCAGGCGCAAAGTTTGTTTACTCTGTTTTATTAACGAAATATATAAAATAAAAGTGAATAAATGATTTGGTTTGCATAAAATAATAACCGGAAACGTTTTAGTAGTGTTTTAAAAGTGGAAACTGGTGATTTAGTGCATTTTTGACGTGGTAATTGCTCATAGAAAACAACGAAATTTAACAAAAGTTTTTTGTTCATAACTTTTAAATGGTTAATAATATTATCTCCCCCTCCGGATTGTTATTAGGGGGGCCGAAACGCGTCATTTGGAACCCCTCCCGACTTTTCCGCACCTTTTTTAGGGGTTGTTACCCCACCCTAGAGAATTACCGAAAAAACTAGTGAAGACACCGATTGGAACGAGTAGAACGTGAGTTTTCAAGTAGTTTTCAGCGAAAACTGGTTTTCGTTTGACAGATTTTACATGTACGAAAACACATGTTTTAGGTCGAAAACTAGTTTTAGCAACGAAAACATGTTTTCGATGTCGGTCAGAACATGGTATTAAGCTTGATATAGAGTTCAATGCGAGCGTGAGCGTGAACGTTCGCAAAGGCTAAGAGTTCCATTTGTATTCTTATGAACGCTCACACATATCTGTCAAAACTTGTCGTTCACATGCGAATGCTTTGCGTACGCACACAGTTGAGTGTGAGCTTGAAAAAAAGGCTTATTATACATTTTAAATTAGTTTTTGTTCTATAATGTTGAAAGATATTTTAATTCTCTATCTTTTCATGTCTCAACTATAGCAAAAAGTTGATAATAACGAAGATATTGGTCAAAATAAAAAGCTCACGCTACCACTCGCATTGAACTGTATATCAGCAGGGTTTATGTAATTACAGAGCCAAATAAGAAGAGTGTGTACGATATTAAGACCACTATATTTTGTTAAAATTTTGCACGATATTAAGATCACTATATTTAATTAAAATTATGTGATGAACTAATTCACTATTATATGAGGTATAATAAACTGTCTTTAAAAGCATTGGAAATATTTTGGCAAGTTTTACAAATTTAACTTAATTGGTTTTTGGGTTTTTTATATATGTACTTATGTATTTATAACAGAACAAACCGACTACCATATACATAACTGTAAATTGATAAAACTTGAAGGGTACCCTACAAGAATTGTGTGATGGAAACTAATACATTCTCATTTATCTTACTAACACATTTGCAAATTTTGCATTGGTTGAAAAGAGACCGATAAATAAGACCATAAGTCGGAGGAAGACGGAAGATCACATGTACACAAATGTTTACATCACGTTTTGCATATTGCTCTTAAAAAGTTGATAGAAGTACTTGATTGAGATCTCCATCACCGGTGAGTATCACATGATCAATAAAATGACTATCACTGTTCCTGTAGGGACCCTTAGAAAAATCGCCAAAAATCAAAACTTTCATTTGCGTTTATTCGCTTGAAAAATGTTAAATATTCATTTGCACAATACATTTTTATACCCGAGCGCACTTGTGCACAAGGGTATTATAACTTTGTTCACATAACGGTTGTTTGTAACAGGCAAAACGAAGCGAGATAGATATAGACAAATGTATACATAAATGATCAGAATGAAAAGAGAAATCGATTAAGCGGTGACTGTCTGTCCGTCCGTCCGTCCGTCTGTGCACACGATAACTCGAGTAAAAATTGAGATATCTTAACGAAACTTCGTACATGCACTTCTATTGGGCGTGGGACGGATGGTATTGAAAATGGGCGAAATCGGACAATAACCACGCCTACCTCCCATATAACGGTAATTTTCAGAAATACGAAAACTGCGATATTTTANCCCCCTTCGCCCACCGCACCTTTAACGAACGGCAATAATGGAAAGTTTCCCCTCGAATTACAACTCCTCACATATTTTTATGAAAAAAAATTAAAATATAAGTCAAGACTTTTTCCATTTCATCAACGATGTTTTTACGTCTTTTTGCATTTCAGATGACTGTATGTAGATTATAAACAGGGACAACACGTTATAATGGTATCGAGAGTGCCCAAATACTTTTTTGATTGACTGAAAAGAGAAGCACGCCCCTGTTGTTGTTGTTGTTGTAGCGGCTACAACAACCCCGCCCAGATCGGTTGGTATCTCAGTCGTTGTCGTCAAGTTCCACTAACGGCAACCCTAGGAAGCGTGCAGCTTCTGTGGGGTTTGTCCACAGGGACAAGGCCGTTAGGGTTGTCGGGTTTTCCGGGCATGCGAAGAGATGTTTCGAGTCATGTGGGGTCTCTCCGCATGCCGGACACTCATTCGGCACATCCTCATTCAACCTACTCAGGTAGGAGTTCAACCTGCTGCAGTAGCCGGAGCGAAGTTGTGCAAGTGTTGTGCGTGTCTCCCGAGGCAGATGAAGCTCCGTCTCGTCTATGTCCGGGGGTGGTATGCCTAGAACGGCATTCACAGGTCTAGAGTCTACATAACTCGAGACTGAGTCCCTGTGAATGCCGTTCAGGGCCTGTCTGTACGCTGTCGGGTCCAGAGGTTGCTTAATGAACCTCTGGACTTCGTCCGTCAGTTCATATAGATGCCTCCTGACGTGCCTAGGCGAGGGCTCCTCTGCAAGCAGCTGTCTGCTTGGGTGGCCACTTCTGTGGCTCCCGATCAGGAACTGCTTGCAGAGCATTATATTATGCTCCTTTACAGGGAGCATTTGCGCCTCGCCGTGCAGGTGGTGTTCAGGCGACATCAAGAGGCATCCTGTCGCTGTCCTGAGTGCGGTGTTCTGTACAGTCTGTAGCTTCGTCCACTGCGTCCTACTAGTCCCTGGCGACCACACTGGCGCTGCGTAGTTCAAAACCGGCCGGCCTATTGCCTTGTATGTTGCCAGCAACGTTTCTTTGTCTTTGCCCCAAGTACTGCCGGCTAGCGACTTGAGGACCTTGTTGCGGCTCTGTACTTTATTGACAATAGCGGTTGAGTGCGCAGAGAAGGAGAGCAGGCTGTCGAATGTTACTCCGAGTATTTTGGGGTTATTCACCGTCGGAATTGGTGTGTCATCGACGTGAATCCCCAGCGGTAGCCTGACCTCCTTCGTCCAGGTTGTGAACAGGGTCGCGGAGGATTTCGTAGGGGAGAGGGCTAGACACTTTGCAGTGAAGAAGCGAGAAAGTTCGGAGAGATAGCCCCTGTTATTCACACCCGCTACAATTAGAACGTGTTGTCCTTCCTTATTATCTACGTTCTTTGCTTTTCCTCTTAAAGATAGCATAAATCCACCATAGTGCAATTATTATTACCGGCACTGTATTTATATGTACATATACATGTATCTTTATTTTGGATGTACATAACATCGAAATGTAATAGATGCAGTCACAAACATATACACGCATATTCTACTATACATTTTTATGTCCGTGATTTAATAGCCCGCATCTCATATTTTGTATCGTGAATTGCTAGAAAAATTCTAAGTTTGGTTATATCCACCGTACTTTTTAATCCCGACCCCTCAATCTATTCTAAAGCATATACTACTAAACTCTGTTGTAGTCTATTGAAAGCACCTCATCTCCACAGTTTTCTTTTCAAATAATTACTATATCCCACTCTAACCAAAAGAAAACGAGCAGAAAACAACCGGCCACGAGAATATAGAAAGACTCATATAAAGAACAGCAACCGATAAAAGAGTAAATAAACTCAACAAAGCAATGACAATGAGGAAAAAATAGTTAGACAAAATATATGTAAGCAAATCACATAGAAAACTGCTATGCACCTTCTTAGTTTTCTAAGTTCTGCGATGTATGTATGTAAGTGAAATAAAGTAAAAACATTGCCAACTGCAATTGTGGATGACAACTTTTTATATCAGAAATTTCATTGAATGGATTCTAATATATAAACTATGTAGGTTGGATTAGTAACAAAATATAGTAATTATATTATTAAACTACAGTTCTAGGTCTGTGAACGCGTCTAAACTGAAAAAAAAAACGATAAAAGCTCAATTTACGCAACTAAAAAAATTATGAAAATTTTTAATTGAACGTCACGTTAATCACTCCTTCATTGTGCCACGTCTATCGAGGTCGTACTGTGGATAAGGAAATTCGAAAATTTAAATTGAATCATGATTCAACTACTATTGAGGTAGGAATGTTCGATATTTAAGAAAGTATCGGTATTATGACTCGATTTAATTCATTGCATGTAAACTCGATATGGCGATATATCGGGCTGAACAATATCGATATCGGAAAAATCGATGTTGAAAATCCTACTCCCAATAGAATAGAATATTAGACCTTCTTATCAACTCAACTAATTGTGTTATTTCCATCATGTATATTTACTGAGGATTAAAATGACATACCGGTCGACTCAAGCGGTTTATCAAACTTAAGAGCTAAATAAAGATAATAAGAGTTCTATCTGGATTTTTTCGAAAATTCCCCCTTGGCCCCTCCATTGCAACTACAATATAAGTTTGCATCAAAACATTGTTATACCATTACAAAAAAAAAAAAAAAACTTAAGGGTGCGTTCAGAGATGCGTCAAGCCAAAGCACCAGTCTCTTTTACTTCTAAACTATTAGGGCCGTTTTGTTGCTTTTGTTGTTGTAGCGGCCGTTTTCACCATCTCTGGTTAACGCTAATCCCCAGTTAAACATTGTTACCGACCCAATGTTAAGTGCCGGTTGTTTTGTCCGGTTATCACTACTTGCCGGTTAAACATCATGCTTATAACATGTGATCGATAAAGCAGTCGTTGTATTTAACCGGAGATTCTACCTCTGATTTGTGCAAATCAGACATTGAACAACCGGCCCTGAATGAATGGAGTCAGCACCGTCGGTAACGATGTTTAACTGCGGGTTACTGTTATAGGGAATTTACATGATTCAACTTTCACAGGCGAATAGTTGAACCAAAAGTTGAACAAAAGTAGGGAGCAGACCAACTTCGTTGTAAGCGATTAGTTGAAAGGCTGTTTACACCAGGCGATTGTTGCTTTCAACTAAAAATCGCCTGAAAAATCGCCTCATGTAAATTCCCTATTAACCAGAGATGGTGAAAATGGCCGTAAGGGATGGAAATGACTTATTTATGCATCTAAGTTCCAATTAGACATTTATCCGTGTTTGCGCGTATTGAACATTTCCATCAATTATAATTTAGAAATAAATGCGTCTGATGCTTTGACTTGATGCATTTCTGAACACACCCTAACTGGGCGTATTCTGACTTATGCCAATAGTTTGGGATCAGTGCATGTATAGGTATATGTATATCGGAATTAATGATATGTTTTGTTATACATTTCAAATAAATGTTATGAGTTTTTACAAGAATATTAAGTTTTCGGTGTTAAACGATTTGGTTAAAATGTGACTTCTTTTTTTCAGACTTCAGCAGGGAGCAACAAGAGTTTACGGGATGTACATAGGTCAGTGGTTAACGCTTCTGACTTTGAACATCGATTACGCAGGTTCGATCCCTGCTGAAGTCTGGAAAAAAAGAAGTCTGATGAGGAGATGTGGTGATCTCCGAAATAGCTGCTATAACTTCTACCGCTTAGACTTTGTTGCTTTTTCAATTTTTCCTAATAAACAATCGTGGTACAAAGCTCAATAAAAATATTAAAAATATACTATATTGTTTGATAATTTTTCTTAAATTCGAGAAAATGATTCCGAATATTGTACCATTTGTTACATTTTCCAAACTATATATTATACGTATTTACCACGAATAATAATAAAGAATTCACATTATGGAACTCCGCTGCTGGTACATTCCTTTTATCTCTCTGTATTTCAGTGTCCGCAACTGTATTCATGAAATCAGACATAAGAAAACGTCAAATATTTAAAAATGTGAACGTCAAACATATCTCGTTGTAGCAATGGAGACGGTTGTGATTTAGCAACTGGATTTATTAAATCTTGATAGGTAAATCTCACAATGGAGACATAGTATTAAGCTCAAGGCGAATTTGTACAAGGTGGTGTTGATGGCAAATTAAATTTTCGCCGCGGTACTACTGAATGTCAAAATGATGTTTGTTGCAAAATGAATTCGCCTTGTTTACAACAAACACATCATTTTGACATTCAGTAGTACCGCGGCGAAAATTTAATTCGCCATCAACACCACCTTGTATAAATTCGCCTTGCTTAAGCTAGTACGATATAGGTTTTTACAGAATAAGCACCTTCAACTTCAATATTCAATATCCTATAATTGGTGTGTACCTAAATCCCGTAAATTGTTTCCACCAAACTACCGTTCGAGGTGGCAACCTCATTTGTATCAAAGACGCTTTTTCCACTCTCCTTTTTATCACCTACTATTATGCCTTTTTTCTTATATTTTCTCCTTCCTACTTCGATTATACAGAATCCTTATGCCTTACCTTTTTTATCTGTACATATTAAATTTATTTGTACATGTATTTCTTCATTAATTAAGGCAATTATAATACTAATCGCTGCCTTGGGCTAAGCTACATATTTTCACGATACAGGCATCGCCAGTGACTTTCCATTTGGCACAACCACGAAAAAGGTGTATCAAGAGGGACAAAGCATGCAAATTTACAAGCATTTAACTATTAATGTTATCTTAAATTTCACCTTCGGCGCACTTAACAATACTTTACACTTTTATAGCCATTCTCACTTTTATTTCAAATGTGTATTTCATTTAATTAATTACACTAGACGAGCACAAAGGAGCCAAACCGAAGTCGAAAACGAAATAAGCCAACGGCAGCAGCAAATCGAAAGCCAACCAAAGTTGCAAATAGCACTTAAAAAGGGTTCTCAATTATGCTAAAAGTGGAAGGTATATGAAGCAAATTACCTTCCTCAAAGCTGCGGAATATCGATGTAGCCTTATAAATCTTTAGGAATAATGTTCTCACAAATGTAATTTAAATTTGTTTTATTCTTTTGTAATAGAATTAATAATTGCATTAATTTTCTTGTTGCTGTTTTGGGAGTAGACCTTCCTTAAGTAATGTATTAGCATGCAACCCTGTCTACACTTATAATCGTCACTGGCGATTCCCACATACATATTTTGTTTACGAACATTACAACAAAGTATAAACGCCAAAATATGAAAAAAGGTTGCCAACTCTTTATTTTATGCGTATGTAACTGTCATACCTAAACAAAAGCGATTGGCGGTTCGATTTCTGACGGTTAGCGTCAGCGACGAAGTGCCATACCTAAGCAAAAGCGTGAACGCTACGTCAAATGCGTCGTATGTAACACGAAGATAATAGTTTCGCCGTTTTCTGCAGCCAACTTCAATACCTAACGCCTCGTCAAACGGATTTTCCAACCGCTCAGCGTTGACGCCGCATTGTTTCGGTATGCTTCAAACAAATTGTATGGGCATGAGAATATTTTGACAGCCAGACAACGCTGACGCTTTTGTTTAGGTATGACAGTAAGAAAACGGTAGATAAAGTAATGAGGATATCCGGGACAGCCATACTGCTGTCCCTAAAGTAGCGCATCATGCGCCAAACTGTCAAAAATCCTCATGCCCATACAATTTGTATGGAGCATCCGACAATAACGCGGCGCTAGCACTGTGCAAATGGAATTTTCATTTTTGACAGACGTTACGTGTTGAAGTTGGATGCAGATAAAAAAGCAATGCAATTCAAATACCCAAAGTAGTCACTGTGTTAAGGTATTTTATTAGTCTTCCGATTCTTTACAAAGCTTTTCGAATTTATATTTCAAATATCCAATTTATTTTTAAATTATGTCATTTGTTTAAAAATGTATTTCAAATAATCGCTCGGCGTAGTAAAGCTTTTCCTCTGAAACCCCTTTTCTGAATAAGTCGCTACAGAAATGTCCATTTGATGTCTATACGCTTCTGCCAGTCGCTGGAAGTAAAGTGAAAAATTATATCGATTCTGAAATGCCTAAGACTTTATTAGTGCTCTATACAACGAAAGCTGTTTTAATGCCCTTTTAAATAATTGAACTTTTTTCCTTACACACAGGTTTTGCAATTCTCTTCAGAGTTGATTTCAACCCCATTCAATTTGAATTCAAAATTTCTTTGGTGGAAATTTACTAGGAATTGAATTGCAGAATCTGCCTAATAAGCCGCTTTCGATTCATCAAACCCAAGTTAAATTATTTCACGATGTAAAGATGTATGCATGTATTCTATAATTTAAAAAAAAAATTATGTTTAGAACTGTTTGGCCGAGCTTCTCATATAAATGGAGGAACCGACAGCAGAAATACACTCACGAGGTTTGTCACTGCCTGCGGAGGGATGACCGTGGTAGTACGCACCTCTACCCTCTCAGCCGCAGCGTCCCTACGAATTAATTATTTTTCGTTAGCATGCAGATAAAATCTTCACCTCTATTGCGAGTGGCGACTACTAGTAGATAAACGACTGTTAGTCGATTATCGATTACCCGTGGTATTTTCCAAGTCGTTTTCTCGTTCCATAAGTGCGTAGTTTATAGTTTATAAAGCTCATCCTTCTACTAACAAACAGTTTTAGAAAGATAGTTTTTAGATAGATAGATAGTTTTAGAAAGGCCGCATGGCGACAAAGAATCAGAAACTAATAAAACAATTTCCGTGGTGAAAAAAGCATTAAAATCATCATGCAAAAATGACGCCGTGTTTCAACAAATATTAAAGGATGTACAGGAAATGTCTCTTCTATTTGTTGAAGTGTCCAGATATATTCACTTCACACTTATGAAACGTTGGGAACAACGAAACTTTGAACCCATAAATTTTCTGGACTGTTATTAACATCTAATGGTAAAGAAAAAACCAAAATATACAATAGACCAGGAGTATAATATGCTGCGAAAAAACCTCAAGTTGTACGATAGTTCGTATCGGTCGAATTTATTTGTGGAAAACGCGAATAAATACCTAACAAAATATTTTAAATTTGAGGACTGAGCTACCTATTCGAAAAAAATACCAAAAATATCCCAGATGAAGCGTTACTTGTACGTATGCGTACCGATTTAAAATGGAACGGGCAAAAGCTACACGAAATAAAGAATGTCAAACTATTTTGGTCTTCCATCGAATTATTTTATAACCTGCAACGGTATAATGAAATCAAATGAATAAAAAAATTTTCACTAATACCACAACTAAAACACGGTTTACATTACGTGAGATACGATCGATTTGCTTTGTACCACCTATTGTGTCGATTGAAATTATTCAAAGGACCATTTCCTTCCTTCGATAAAAGTGAATTTGGAAAATATTTTAAAATTCCTTCAACGTGCACTAAAACGTTTTCTTCACTTGAAACCGATCGAGTGTCGGTATCTTTTTCGATGGAAAAGAAAATACAAAATGAAACCAAAGGCAAAAAAAGAAAACTGAAACCAAATGAAACCGATTGTGAAGGTAATCTAATAAAAATACGCGGAACAAAATACGACAACAATATTGGGCTAGATCCTGGGTGTCGGCTCATTTTAGCTGGCATCCAGAACAATTTTCCCGTGAAAATCAAAAATTCTTACTATTAACACTTATCTGGTTTCTATTCT